AAAAGTTTTATGAACTATTTTCTGTTTTGCTTTATTAAGCTGTGCATAATATCTAACCAACAATTTTATAATACTTTACAGTTCACATGGTTCTTTTCACATAAAATATCTCATTTAGTTTCTCCAACAAAGCTATGAGTTAGGTGGTAGTATTATACCCACTTTTCAAGAATGACAAATCTCAGTGACTTGTCTGATTCGCCAAGGATCACATAATCAGTTGTAATGGAGTAGGAGTGAAATCCAAGACTTCTAATCCTAATCACAATAAAATTTGAACTTTCCTTAATTTTTAGGGGTGTCATTATAACACCAGTGGTTCATTTGTTTATACAGTGATATACTTGGAACATAATAAAGTTCAATGCAGATCATTCTTCAGTTGAGGCCCAGATGAAGTGTCAATTTGCTTTGAGAAACTAAGTTGTAAGGTAAAAAGATATCTTAGATATTAGCATCAAATCCAATTTGTGGTGATGCTTACATTATGAGAAGAAAGTAAAATCTAAACCAACTCTAGGAAAAGAAGTTTCATTTCTCTTTGTCCACTCTCTCTGGGGTCATATGCTTACTGAGTAGAATTGCATGCAGATCCACAAATATATTTAATCAATCTCTAATTGTAACTTCCCTTTCCTTTCCCTCACTTCTTCTTTTCCTTGTATCTTTCCCTCTTCTTCAATTTCCTCTCCCTCTCCCTCTCCTTGCCTCTCTCCTTCTTTCTCTCAGCACATGTAAGTGATTTCCCGTAAATTAAAAGATGGATGATGAGACTTCACCATATGCTGAACTGTCATCTCTTCATTATATGAACACGATTACTATATTTCTTAGATATAAGCTTTTATGTTTATTGTCTATTATCTATTACTACATTCTGTTTCAGCATGATTGCTTCTATTTGCTCTTAACGGTCTGTTCTTGTGAAACTTCATGAGGAAATCAAGAGATCAAATGTAATACTCACTAAAATTTTGCAATATTAAATTCTTTGTGTCTAATCTCTGATGTCAGGGCTGAAAAATATCTGCCAGATTTCATGATCTTCAATGTTAGTTTCCCATTCCGATCATAGGCATTTTTGCTTGCTTTCAGGTTCAAGGCTTATTTTTAATAAATAAAAGTAATTATATTCACTTTTATGTTAATAAATGTTTAACTACACACATTCTGGACAAAAAATTAAAAGGTCTAATTTGCCATAATGTCAAACACATTATACATGAATCACCTCAAAAATATAGATAATAGTTAAATTAGAAAATGAATTTTTAGTACTTATTACCTGTGTTTTTAATAGTTTATTTAATTTTAGATTTGTATAATTTAATAGTTAATGGTTGTATTGAACAACCAATTCGCAAAATTCCTGAAATAATACAATGTCTCTACTCCCATTTTCTTTTGCTTTATCCTCTTAAAACATGCAGTATTATTTATATTTTAAATTTGTAAAATGTATGTTGAGCTATAAATCTTATGTTTCTTAACATTATAAAGTTCATAGCTGTATTTTAAAGATCCATACACATTGTGCTACATATACCTAGTTTATTTTAACTAGTCTTTAGCTTGCCTCCAATTGCCCATTTCCAGAGCATATGTACCCACACTGGTTTCCAATTCCTTCAATGTAATAACAAACTTCCTTATACTTTTTTGTGCCATTAGGAACATAAGTGCAATTTCCCTGGCATACATTGATGAGAGGATATGCTAATATGATCAATATGGTTTTGGTTGTTGATTCTTGTTTTTTAACATATGCCCTTGTTTCTACTGACAGTAACTAATTGCCACTGAAGTTGTGGCTCTCTGCTTTAAGCTAGTCTTTTTCTCCCCATAGTTTCCACCTAGTCCATGTAGGAACCTGAATTTGTGACCCTGGTGTCATAGACTTATTTTTCAAAATACAGCCTAATTCAGGAATTATAAAAGCCCATTGAAATGGTTATATACTTGGAAAAGATTACATGAGGTCTTTTTAAGTCCTAAGAAAAGTCATCAAGGCTGTGTAACTTACATTGTAGTCACGATGGAGACAAGAACACTCAATTAACTCTATTTTCCTTCCTTCAAGTAGCCAATTTATTTAATTGTGTTAAATTCAGTAATATTTATTAAACACCTACTATTAGGAAGCACTGGACTCAATATGAAGGGAATACCATGCAAAGAATAAAAGAGTCAGTACCTGCCTTCCAACTGACACATAGTCTAACTAGAAATACACATGCTGAAAAGTGTGGACTTGAAGAAGCATCTTCTTAGGAAGTTGCTCTTCAGCACTTCCCAGGTTGAAATCACACACACATACATACACACACAAACACACACACACACACACACACACACACACACATACACACACCTACCTCTATCTTTCTCTACATGGGCAAAACCTTCAATCCGGTCTAGGCCACTAGTCACTCTGATGAACACATTAATCATTCAACTCATGTCTCTGCTTCCTTCTGATAAAGAAGTGTTTTCCACACTAGAAAACACAAATCTTCTCACATCACTCCTCTGCTCTAAACATCTCCATCCACTCCTCAGTTTTAGAAGATAATTTGATAATCTCACACTACAAGACCTTAATAAGCTTGCCATTGGATCTGGTCTAGCAGTTTTATATCACTACTCATATAAACTCTAGTCCAGATAACCAAAACGGCTCAATGCCTCGTCTCTGTGCCTTTATACACGCTCTCCCCTCTGTCAACAATGCCCTTTCTCCTCCTCGAACTCAAACTTCTGAACAATCCCTAGCCATTTCTCAAGACCAATTCATACATTAGCTTTTTAAGGCAACCTATTTATCTCTCCAGCCTGAGTTAAGCTGTTCCCCAAGTGTGTCTTGTTAAAGTCATCATTATTCCCCCCAAACTCTGCTATAATTTCTTTACATAGCTATTTTCTCCACAAGGCTGTGAGTGCTTAGAGATTATCATCATTTTGTAAGCTTAGTAACTTGCACAAAGACTGGCGTAGTGTAGTAGCTAAGCATTTATTTTCTATAATACATAACGAATGAATGTTTTTATTGAAACGATTAACATTAAATTAATAACTAGATGTAAACCACAATATGTATATATTTCAGTTGTTAGGTTGGGTTCATTACCATTCCTGTTTAGTTAAAACTTCTTTAAAGAGTTGGTAATTTTTGTCTTTTCCGATTCTGATGTTTCATATAAGAAATGTGGTTTCCCTTACTCATTTTAACGAACTCTATTAGCAGTACAATTATTTGTATTTCCTACAACATAAACATAGGAATTTATAGCTATATTAAAATACTGCTATTAATAGTCAGTATGCACTAGTAAAGATTTAAGAGTATTCCTATTGTATTAGTAATGTATTTCTAGTTTTAACGAACAAAAATTTTCAATGGAATATTTTCTTGTTCACATGATAGTCCAGTGTACATGCTCCTGGCCAAGCAGCTTTTTTGCCTGTGTTATTACAGAAACCTAGGTTCTGTCCATCTTTTGGCTCTGCCAATCCCTTGGCAGCTTTTTTCAACTATCATTTCTCAGGAGAATTAAGTTCTATTGAAAATTATCTAAGGGTCTATTTCTTTATTTTTCCAAGGATGGTATATAACTAGTACATTGTACTAACTCAGGTAACTCATTAGCTAATAAGTCTTTCTTGCCTGTGTTATTACAGAAACCTGGGCTCTGTCAAGCTTTTGGCTTTGCCATTCCCTTGGCAGCCCTTTTTCAAAAATTAAGTTAGGCTTTGGTCATGGACAATCAGCTTTAGTATTACCTGAAAAATGGTTTAAAAATGTAAATTACTGAGCTCTTACCTAAGTTCTATTAAATACAGAATTCTGGGGCTGAGGCCAAGCCATCAGTATTTTATGAAGGCTTCCAGGTGGAAGTCAGAACCACTGCTCTAGGGAACTAGGACTTAATTCTCCCCCAGTCCTAGAGGTTTGCCTTAGAATCCTAGTCTTCTGCTTATTGTTAATAAAAAGCAGGGAAAAGAATCTACAAATTTAATTTTTTAAAAGCCTTAGCCCAGAACTGACAGACGTCACTTCTGCTCACATTCCACTGGTTATAACTAATCTTTTGGTGATCCAGTAAGCAAGCAAGATCACAATCTGTATTTTAAAAGACTACCCAGGCGATTTGTATACTGGAGCCAACCTGTGTTAGCTCATAAGGTGTATTGTTAGGTATTCAGGCACTTTGTAAATCACTTGACATGATCTTGGTAATTTAAAATTGGCCATGCTATGAGTATTTACACCACAAAAAAATGACAAACACTAAAATCAGGGTGTCCCCTCACCACCACTGCAGAGAGCCGGTTGTTAAACATATACCAGCACACCACTGGCCATATACAAGTTGTCTGACTCCACAGGGAGCTCTAAACAAACTGCATCTTTGTACCATTATCCTGTGTAGTCATTGTATAAGGCCAAGGAGAGATGCAACTGTCTGCAGCTGAGGCTGTCCTTGAATGGTCTGATAGCTGAAGAATGCCTACATACTTCATTTCTACCATCTGAGACAAGAGTCTTTCCTTGAAGGGGTCTCTGGTTGGTGTCTTCATATGTCCACTGTCGCCTCTACCTCCAAGACATTCTGATACATTTATCTTGGTTGAGTCAGGGCATTAGGATTTTTTTTTTAAGTTTACTGGGTGATTCCCATATGAAGCCACAATAGGCAGCATTTAAAAGAGTCAAGCCAAGTCTTGTGAGGGGGCTGGTTTTTGTTTTGTTTTCACTAATGTCTGTACTCTACCTTTTGTAAATGATATTGTGCCCGTAGGAAGATTTTATATGCAGCAATCAATAAATATTTATAGGGTTGTTTGCTAAAATAATAATTACATTGAAAGATTCTACCCAAAAAATTGGGAGTGAAATAGAAATCCAATAATATATTCACAAAATGAATTAAGAACTTCATGAATTAAGTTATCTTCAAGGTATTAATCGAATCAGTAACATATATGCTTTTCTATTAAAGAGGAAGTTAGAAGATCTGAGCTCTGAGTGGGAGGCAGTAAACCATTTGCTTCAAGAGCTGAGGGCAAAGCAGCCTGACCACGCTCCTGGACTGACCACTACTGGAGCCTGTAAGTACAATGCATTTCATCTTCTTTTGCTTTATTTATTTGCTCAAGAGCATGAGTATGAGGTAATCTCTGAGTGAAAGGGAAAATCTTTTTCTGATTCTTTAGATAGGGATAAACTTTGTATTGTTTACTGTGCAAAAGGTTGTGGGGGTTCCTTGGAAAGTGACTCCAATTCTAAGTGTTGTGTGGCAAAGGTTTACTGAGCAGTGTTCTCTGGAAATACAACTTCAGAGAGGAGAGCAGGAGAGGGTAGGAGAGGCTGAATTGCAATTTGGCTTCAACAGATACCTTCAGCTGGTTCCACAGGCACCCTAAAGCTGGGCTGGTTTGCAGAGCCATCCTTTATTGCAGGGAGAGGGTCTTCACCCTGATCTTCCTGATGCAACTAGCCATTGCTGTGGGCCATCCATTTGGAGTAGAGAGGCAACTTTAGAGTGTATTTTTTGTGGGACTGGAGATGATTCAGTTTTTTGTGTTACAAAAAACAACCTATATTCCCAGCATCTAGGAACCCGTATGTTGTCCAATCAAGGTGAAGCACTAGAGTATTCGGTAATGCTAAATACATGAGAATTTCATATCATTGACACCTGTATCATTTAGACAAGTTTCTTCAAGCGTACTTATAAAAATTACAGAAACACACAGTCATCCTAGCATTTTTCCCTGTCCTATTTGAAACCAATTTTAAGAGCTTTTCCATTTGGCGTTCAAAAAAAAGAAAAAATGAACTGTAACTACCACAAGGTGACTCAGGGGAGGAATGTTTCTTCATTTAGATGGAGCTTTAACTTGTTTCACTGGATATTTTCAGTCTGTTTTATTTTTCTTCCGGTTCAGTTGCTGATAGAAGGTATGCATGAAATCTGACTAACTCTCAGGCGAAAGAAGCCAGAAAACTTTTTTGCTGTACCAATTTATAATTAAGGAGAACTGAAAACATCTTTGGGTGGTGTTTTTGTTTTTGTTTTTTTTTTCTTTCTTTTACTTTTGAGAGATCAAATGATTGAAATTTTAAAGCCTGGCAATTGGTTCTTTAGGTGAAGTTGATTTCTTATTTTATATCAAGTTGAAATACAATGAACTGGAAAGATCACAGCCAGGGTGGCATAGTCATAATTCAATAGAAGGCATGAATAGTGCTTGGAATAAAAGAGGCAGTACAATCTGGGGATAGTGCAACTCATGTTCCTCCTGGGGTTTCTAAGTAGTCATCAGAGCTAGATTTAATGACATTGGAGACTTGAAAAAGATGTGCAAGCATTATGGTTTTCTTTTTTTGTCAACCTGACACACTGAAATTGCTATATCAGGGTTTATGTTAAACTAATTATGTCAGGTTTCTTTCCTTTTATGAACTGTAATTTTTGTTTCCTTCAGCACATATGCCCAGTTCATTCCTATATAATCATTTATTGGTGTTTATTCTCTAGGTGTCTCTGGTATATTCAGTCTCAGATTCTGCAACCTTCTGATTGAAGAGATTGTTTTCCAATTATTTTTATAAGCTTGTTAAACTCTGAACTTTTGGGGTTATACCCCCATTTAAGCTACTCTGCACATGGTAGGAAGGTTCCAAAACCAGAGCACAGAAATTTATTTAATGTGTAGTGTCCCTAAGTATAATGATGATGTTTCTAATGGAAAATAGGTTCAAAGTTTCAGTTTTGATTCCTAGGAACATATGTAATTCACCCACTTAATAAGTATTTATGAAGTAACTCAATGCTGAGCACTGAGGTTAGAATAAAATAGTATTTCCTTTCATGAAACACATTCTTTTTGGAAAAGAAAGATGATTAATAAAAAAAAGTATACTATCTCAATCGTAAGAGTTACAAAATATAGTCTACAGGTTAATGTCCAATGACCTTGGTTAGTAATGCAGAACCTCAAGCCCCCATACCAGACTCACTGAATCTTGATTAGCATTTCAATAGAATTCCCACACGAATCATATGCACATTAAAGTTTGAGAAACAGAACAAGAAAGGAAAAGTAAGACAGAAAAGGAGTGGGGATGGGGCCATTATTTTCTAATGTGTACTCAGACAAGCTATTCTATTAAGGACATTTGAACTGGGAACTGGTGACTAAGGCCTATAATCCTAGCTACTCAGAAGGCTGAGATCTATCTGGAGGATTATAGTTCCAGGACAGCCAGGGCAAAGAGTTCATGAAACTCCAACTCCAAAATAGCCAGTGCAAAATGGACTGGAGTTGTGGCTCAAGTGGTAGAGTGCCTGCTTTGCAAATACAAAGGCTTGAGTTCAAACCCCAGTCCCCCCAAAAGAGAAAGAGAAAAAACATTTGAGAACATCAGAAAACTGATGTGAGGTAGTGAGGCAGTGAGCCATGTGCATATCTGTGGAGAATATTCCAGGCAGAGAGAGGACAGTCAGAGTAAAGACACTGCAGTAGGAGCAAGGTGGAGGAATATCAAGGACAACAATGAGCCTCCAGCAGAAGGCAAGGTCAAGAGCTGTGGAAGTAGTAAAAGAGCCTTTCTGGGTTCCTGACCTTCTTCCTTCTCCCTCAGGACCTCATCTCCCCCTATGGTTCCTTGCTTTCCCCCATCTCTCTCAGCTCCAAGCTATCCATGATAGCTGGTGGAGTAAGAGCCAGAGCTGGAGAAGAAATAAGAGAAGAATTTTCTCAGAAACAGGGGCTTTTCATCTCTTCTAGCAAACTGACACAGAGCTGGGCATAAAGTCAAAATGTTAAGCCCACAAATGTTGAATAAAAAGAACCAACAGGGAATCAGATCCAAAGCTGCTTTTATTCAAAGAAGATTTTTTTTATTTCATGTGGTGGCTTAAATATCAGAATTAAAAATTGTTTATATTCTTTGACTTTGTCACTCATAGGAAGTTATTCTGAAATGAATATAATACAAAATCTAAATTTTAATGTCTCTGATGTGATTATCATTTCATGTACTATATTATAATAGAATTTATAATTCTTCCTAATGTTTTTCCATTGCACTCCTATTGCATACATAGCTTCCTTTGCACTTGTATCTTTACCCTCAAAATAATAGCAAAGTACATAGGGTCATACACAACTTTTTTAAAGGGAAGGAGCCCAAGGTTCAGAATGGAAAGTGTTACATTGAGGCCACAAAGCTGTAAAGAAAGAGAGCCAGGATTCCAACCCAAGTGTGGCAGGTTCCAAAGTCTGTGTTTGGTTTTGTTTCATTGTTGTGCCTTGCATTATCTCTCTGTCCAAGAACCTAATGGAAATTCCAGATACAGAGGCAGCCAGCCAGTAGTTAATTTAACTCACTCTTGGATGTATGAGGAGTCCAAGTGGTACATGTTTCTGTGTCATTTTTACTTAATGAGTAGAAGAACTTAGTTTGCTCTGAATTTCTTAGAAACATGGAACTCTGAACTTGGAATAGTAGTTAAATTACCATGTTTTTGAATATTGTTCTTTACATGTGTGGACACTGAGACCCAAAGTGGTTTTTAAGAACACTAAATCAAAGTCCCCTGTGTCTGTTTACTTCAATTATAGAATATGATGTTGTAGTTCTGTATAAGCTATATAAATTGCTTAAATTTGCAGGACAAATGGGCAAGTTGGAAAAAACTTCTGCAGTTGGTGTTCCTTAAATGCCTGCATCTGTCAGTTATCATTGCATAAAAGCACAAAAACTAATGGCTTAAAATAAGAGTTATTTACTTGTTCATGATTCTATTGGTCTGCTGTTTGTACTGTGATTAGCTGGATAGTTATTCTGATGGTCCTTCTTGATCTTATCTGTCTGAATGCAATTATTTGACAGTGGAACACTGGAACACAAGCTAGGCTAGGAGATCCAAATTGGTCTCACTCAAATATCTGACAGCTGACTGTTGGCTGAAGAACCTCAGTCCTTCACATGGCCTCTCATCCTCCAGTAGGAGAATAGTCTCAAGGCAGTCTTCCAAGGGGGCAGAGTGGAATATTCAAGACCTCTTGATGCCTGAATTTTGAAATTTATACAAGATTAGATTTTATATTCTGTTGCTCAAAGATTAGCCCAGATACCAGAGGTGGGAAAATGACTTCATTTCTTGGAGGGAGAGGCTGTGATGTCACATTGTCAAGGACATTCATACTGGGACAGGAGACTTTTTGGTAGCCATCTTTATACACAAACCACTTCAGTGTGGGAAAGAAGGAAAAGTGGACACAAGTGTTGGTCTGCATCCAACGCCCTATTTCAATGTTCTCAGACTTTATGATGCATTAAAACCACACAATTCTTTATGAAAGCACAGATTGTTGGGGTTCAACCCCAGAGTTTCTGATTCAGGTAGGTTTGGAGTGAAATTTGCAGCTCTACAAAGTTCCCAGATGATGCTGATACTGTTAATCCCAGAACTGCTCTTTGAAAACTACTGCGACAGGTTTCTGGTGAGTGGGGAAGAAGTTCATCCTTCCTACTTCTATGTGCAACAGAATGGGATTCCAGGGTGATCCAATACTGTTAATACCAAAGGGAGCCGGGTGTTACTTCAAGGCCTTCACTCCCTACGCTCCCCTAGCCAACTACTTTGCAGATTGGAGTTTCAAGAAGATGGACAGCACATAAACTTGGCAGTATTTGCCCAGCAAAGCACATCAGTATTCATGGCAGAAAGCTATGGGGAGAATAGCCACACTGATTGAAGTTTCTCTAGAGAAGTTAAGAAACATTTAGCTAGGTAGGACTTTGCATGGGTCTGAAGGCCTGTATGGCAGATGGAGGAAAATAGCCAGCAAATCTGGTTGTAAATGTCAGTGTGAATCCTTTCATATCCACAAGCTGCTGGACCAGAGAACACTCATATAAAGTACCCTGTTTAGAATTTTCCAAAGAAATTCCATATAGACATACTTAATATGAGTACTTCAAATGTCTCAAGGTAGTAACTATTAAATAAGTTGACCATTACATAGAGACATATAAAAGTGCCAGTTAATAGAGATTTGTAGTTGATTAAATGCTGGTAAAATCATCTGTTCCT